ACCGGTGGAAATAGACATGTTTGGATCACAAAACATGTAATTTTCATGACACACTCCCATGATTGATCTATGTCATTTGGTCGTATGGGTGTGTGTGACAATTGATGGATTTAATCACGTTAAATGTGACGAAAATCGCTTTGATCCTATATTAATATGACTGATGGACGAGATTGTTTGAAATACTCATAATAATGATAGCAAAATTTTGAGCTCATAAGGTTGTGCACATTTGTAAGGTTACACGTGTGGCCCAGTGGGAGATTGTTGGATAATTTCAACATATTTGTGGCCACACGTTGTATATTAAAATGTGTTGTGCTATTATTTATAAGATATTAGTCAATTAAATTGATCCACTAAAGATGAATTTTGGCTAATGGATATTAGGTTTTATGGAATTAAAGTGTAGAGACCGAATGTTTTTTTTTTTTATTAAAAAAAATCAGATCTGTAGAACCTCATGTTAAAAAACCGAATTTTACGAAAAAAAAAAAACACTTTATTATATCATAATCCATCCAATGACATGCTTGAATCCATAAAATAACATGAAGATCAAATAACCCAAAAAATTCAGACTTATTAAAACTTTAATTTCTCATTGATTCAACAATGGAGTGGTTCTGATACCACTTGATAGAAAATATAAAAGGGATTAACGATCCAAAATATTATCAAACCCAAAAATTCACAAAACTTTTTACACATACAAATCATCCACGTTGAAATCAATGAGAACAATTAAATAAAAGCGAAAACGTATCTTGATCCATATGTTTGATTGTTTGCCTGAGTGACTTATGATTTTCCAATTTGATTTGTGATCTTCCCTTCAATTTCGATCTATGTTGATGGAGATACAGAAAATCTTGAAGAACACAACAAATTGGGGATCATGACCCCGTATAACCATAAGATAATGAATTGTCATTATCTTTAATTTATTTCAAATCGATCTCTGATCAATCTAAAACAAACATCTGATTTCTACACTTTAATTCCATGAAATCGGTCTCTACACTTTAATTCCTTGAAACCTAATACCTATTAATCAAAAATCATCTTTAGTGGATCACTTTAATTGACTAATATCCTGTAAATAATAGCATCAAGCATTTTAATATATAACGTGTGGCCCCAAATATGTTGAAATTATCCAACATACAATTCTTATAAAAAAAAAAAAAAATCAAAACTTTTAGACATAAACTTAGAATACGGCAGTGATTGAAATTATGTTCGATAACACATTTGAGGAATTTTGAGTCAAATTATGTTTCTAGCATACTGCTAGAAAATTCGTAATTATTCTTCACATATACATGCAAATAAAGCTCCACAAAAATATTGTCTTTACGGATGGAATCAATCTAGTACATGTTTGAGGACAACTGAATTGACAATGATATCCCCCATGTTAACTTCTCTAACAATATCCATTCGAAAATTATTAAGTGTGTGTCTGATGGATATTATTGAGGAATAAATATATTTTAAATAGTGATATGATATGAAATATGTGGTTAAAAAGTAAGGAAAATTTATTGAAGTGATGAAAAATATTACTTTATTGAAAAATGCGTGATTGAAAATGAGTTATGAAATAATGTATTTTGCAAAAATTGTGTCAAACATGGGCTAAGTACCGAATAAACCATGTCAAAGCCATATATGTCAAGCCAATAACAAGATCTTTGAAATCGATAATGACCTTAAGAACATTGAAAACTATTTTGTTAAAGTCAACTATAACAAACGCTCTTCGACCTCATCACGGTATATAGATTCTTATTTTTGTTATCATTGTATTATATTGTTATTATTAACAAATATTAGTAGCGTTGATCCTATTGCTATTTCTCTAGATTGTCTAAGGAATTCGTTATATTTTATTGGAAAAATTCTAACAAAGCTCGTATTAATGCTGTAGAAATGAAAACCAAAAACGAATATGAAAGAGAGAGAACACAAATTAAATTTGGTTCGGCAAACGTCGACAACCATTCTCTCAACCTCTTGCACAAAATTAACACGCCCGATGCATGATTTTATTTTTTCCTCTCTCTCCACACTCTTGGTTTTGAGTAGTGCAAGATAAATCTNTATTATAAACTAGAGACTAATGGAATAAATAGAGAAGAAAAATGGAGTCAATTTTTTTATTATTACTATTGAGAACAAAAATTCTATATTTATAATGTATAAATAAAGCTGCGAAAACACAATTGGCATTCACACATAGATTTAATTCACAATACTCCTCCTTAAATGACTAACTACAAACTATTTACTTCATTCAAAAATTTGTTTGGCTTAATAGGACAAATATATAAAAATGAAGAAAAAATAGTACAAAAAATTTGGACTGTAAAATGATATCTTGAGAGTGTTTAGTTGGGATTAAAATTAGATTTTTAGTAGATTGTGATAGAAGTTTTTGAAATGTGTAATTGAAAAGTTGTGAGATCCATGAAAGATGTGGTTAAAGTTGATTGTTTGACTTTAACTTGAATTAAAATCAGATTTTAATACAAACCAAACATGAGCTTAATTTAGAAATAATTCATATTTCACTATTAAAATAAATAACTAATTTATATTTAATTTTACCTTCAAATATTTAGCCCATGTTCAATAGAATTTCTTTAAGCTCTTGTTTTCTCCTTATTTTACAAAGCTCATTTTTTCTCAAACTTATTTTTAACTACACATTTTATGAGATCCGCAATTTTTATTTACTTTTCAACGATTTCACTAACTTTTATGAAAACATACTAAAAATATGATTTTTAACTAAACCAAACAATGACTAAATCTTTTTTTTCCTCAAACGCATTTTCGACAACATATTTTTCCAATAAAATAATTTTATACGTGAACCTATAACTTTTCTTACTTTATAAACACACATTCTCCAAAAAAATCATTTTTCGCAAAATCTATTCCATTCAGCTTAGATTTTGATAATTCATATCTCCTAGTTGAAATCTACATCATTAGTAATAAAATCACAGTCCTTCATTCACTATTTGCATTCTGGGCCAATAGAAATGTAAAAAGAAATTTACATCAAACACACTCTTAGTTTAATTTTAATTATTTACTTAAGACAATTAGGGATTTACATGGTGTGAGTGTGACAAACCCAACCTTCAAAAGTGGATATCTAAGTTCCCATCCTATTTAAAACTTTAGATCCAAGTCTTCAAGTGATCGAAATTGTTAACATGAATGACCAAATCAGACACGACTTTCAATTGAAATTGATATAAATATTTGAGTGATTTGACAATTTTATCCTCCAATTATAAGTCACATGAAAGTTCCGTATAATCTTAATAATTTAGGTCACTTGATGACTATTTATAAATTTTATATGTTGAAAACTTGGAACCATATTTGAGTTTGTTTGAGTCTCATTTTTTGAAAGAATATGTTTTGTAATTTTGACTTTTTAGAGGACTGGTCACGGCTAAATGTGTCTTGCACCTTATTTTGAAATATTTTATAAACGCTGTAAAAATGATATTTAAAAATCAGTTAATATAAATAATAGTTAAAAAACTGTTAATGTGAATTGAACTTTTTATATAATTCAATTATTTATTTACGTGTATGATAATAATTAACATTACTTTATATATATCCTACCATAATTCAATCAATTAATTTTTCAAGTTCATGTATGTACACTTCTATATTTTAGGGGCTAATTAATTACTCTAGAAATACTACAATTCAATTATTTATATATGTGCATGAATACTAATTAACATTTATTTATGGATATATAAAATATAACATTAAGTCATCGAGTTCGTGTACATGTGTTTTGAGAGCTATTCGATTATTTTAGGAGTAAATAAATTTTTCATGTTCTTAAACACGTATTTATTTTCAAGATTATTCATTTTATCATAAATTATTCTAGAGTATATAAATTATTAAAGATCAAATAATTTGTGAGCTATTTAATTATTATAGAAGTAGATAAATTATTCAAGTTCATGTACACTTATTTAATTTCAATATTATTCATTTAATTTATGATATAACGTCATTTGTCTAAATGTATATAAATTATTCTTTTTCTATATTTATTGATTCAAATTAATTAAATTTCATGTTGGTCATGTACACCCCCTTTGTTTAAGTATATATAAATTATCATATATATATTAATTCAAATTAATTAAATTTCATGTTGGTTCACTTACACCCCACTTGTTTAAATGTATATACATTATTCTTTTTCTATATTTATTGATGCAAATTAATTAAATTCCATGTTCATGAATCAATTTGATTGTTCTCGTACAATTCAATTATTTATTTGCGTGCATGTTTAATAATTAATATTCTATTAAATATTTATTGAAAAAAGAAAATTAGGGTACTATTGAAATAATTAAATTATAATATGACTAAAATTGTCCAGATAATGATTCTCACTTTATGCGATATTATAGATTATCAATGTATGATTAAAAAACAGGTAAATATTTTTAATTTACTATAAAATTATTTTATTAGGAAAAAAATTTGATAAAAAAAGGAATTTTTAAGGGAGGGGCGGAAAGGAGGCTAATTTTAAAACATGCTCTTAATTGACAAGATTTTCTAATCGCTTCCGCCACCCGTCATTCTCTCCCTCCTCGAAACACCGCCTCGGCGCCCCCCACCCCACTTACCTACTCATCATCCCTTGTCACCGGAGAATTCTTTTCCTCCATAAATATTCTTCTCTTCCCCGAATCTAACCTAATTTCGCTTTTTATCTTCTATACAATATATACACACGCCTTTTATTTACATTTTTACAGTATTTTATCTACTTCATTTTTTTATTTTCGATTTCTTTTTTGCTTTTTCATCAATAATTTTCTGGGATTTGTAGATAATTTGTAAATTAATCGTAAACAAATGAAAAGAAATCATCCAATTATGATTATGGTGTTTTTATTGATTTGCAAAATCCACTCTGTTCCGTTTCATCAATGGTAATTAACAACGACATGCATCCGCCTCCAGCTCCGCCGCCGTACAATCCACAAAACAAAAATTCAAATTCAAAGGCCTCCGTGACGTACGACGGAGCAACGGGCAGCAACCACCATAAACGAAACCAACATAGCCGCGAGCTACAGCAAGTGAAGATCAACGATATAGTGGGTAATGGGATTTGTGGGCTTTTGTATAAATGGGTTAATTATGGAAAAGGGTGGAGGCCTAGATGGTTTGTTTTACAGGATGGAGTGTTGAGTTACTACAAGATCCATGGTCCTGACAAGATTGTGATCAATCAGGAGACTGAGAAGGGATCGAGAGTGATTGGAGAAGAGTGGATTAAACGGGTTTCGCGGCATCACCGGCACCATCATCAAAAGTATGGTGGCAATGGTGGCTCCTCTTCGAAAAGCCGGAAGCCCTTTGGCGAAGTCCATCTAAAGGTTCTACTTTTCCAATTCAATTGTATAAAAAACTTCGAGAAATCTACAGTATGAGTTGTTTGTTTGGTGAATGATCGTTTGAATTGGATATAAACAGGTCAATTAATTATCTGAGTGCTATTTTTAATCATTCTCTGGCTGTTTCTATATTCAGTTTGGGTTTTTTGAAGAAGAAAAGAGATTGTGCCTGAACTTAAATCTGATTAACATAAACTGAATTTAGTTATGTTTCATCAGATTATGCTGTTTTGGTTAATCATGAATTCATGACTTGTAGACAGCCTATTTGTCTATGTTCTTGTTTCATGTGTCATCTTCATAAACTTCATAATTAGTTATGTTACTTGTTCCAATTGTATGTTTACTTAGCATTACTTGTAAGGAATGTGATTTATGTTGGTTTAATCAATGTTCACAACTTGTGATCCACGCACGCTCTATTCTGGTTGTATATGCGACATTCCTTTACTTACAATTGTGTTTAGTATGAGTGCGTGTAGCGGTGTACTTCAAATAAAATCATTACATAAATTGTTTGGTCTTTTACGATTTGAGTAGTTTTCTATAGGTTTCAACTATTCAAGAAAGCCACTCTGATGATAAGAGATTCTCCATTTTTACTGGAACAAAGAGGCTGCATCTGAGAGCAGAGAGTAGAGAGGACCGAATGGCATGGATGGAAGCATTGCAGGCAGTTAAGGATATCTTCCCGAGAATGTCCAACAGTGAGTTGATGGCTCCATTGGACTACGTAGCTGTCTCAACAGAAAAGTTGAGGCAGCGTTTGTTGGAGGAAAATGTGAACGAGGCTGCCATTCAGGACATCGAGCAGATCATGAAGGACGAGTTTGCATCTCTGCAGAATCAATTGACGTTGTTGAAGCAGAAGCATTGGCTCCTCATGGAGTCACTCCGACAGTTAGAGGTACGTGTTATGATTAGTAAATAAGTTGTTACGAGTCAAATTCAGAATATTTCTTCAGTTCCTTCTCCATGGAATTCTGCACGGTAAGTTCCTTCACTAGATTTATAGCTTGGTAGGTTGGGTCGGTCGGTTACTTGTTTCTTTTGTGCTTTGTGAAGTCATTGCTTGTTTCTTTTTGTGCTTTTATTGATTGCCTGATTTGAAATAGTTATTAAAGATTTTTGTACTCATTACCATGCCTTTATTTGAATAATTTAATGAAGATAGATGACTGTTACTTTTTCTTTCTGTACTTCTTATGTTTAATGGCCTTGTTAAAGAGAACCCTGAGGGGTTGCTCAATTGGTCAGGCCTTGGATTTGCTCCCCAATGGTCACCAGTTCGAGTCCCCTCAGGCCACTGAGGTGAGTTCCCAGCCGTAAACTTCAGAGCCCCGTGAAATTAGTCAAGGTGAGCGCAAGCTGGCCCGGACATCCATGGTTATAAAAAATAAAAAAAAAAAAATGGCCTTGTTAAAGAGAGATCTGTTAATTGAATGGTGAAACTAGAAATAAATGCGTATTTGATATTGGATTTAGCTTTCCACACGTTCCTATGCAAAGCTGCGGCAACCCTGCAGCAAGGTCTTGTGATTTTCCTTTTGCCATGCTTTATGCTGTTCTCATATATAGATACTTGAAAGGATGCAGACAACACGAGAAGTTTGTTTTGGAGTATGCCAGATTCACTAGTATTGACATTCATATGTTGGATGAATAATGTTTCTTGGGTGCTTTATGCTGTATATGCCTCCTAAAGAAAGTAAATAGAAACAAATTCTATTTATTCCATTGCCTATTTTAGCCAGGCGCATGTTGTCTTAATCTAAGATGAGATCATCTTGGTAGTTAAAAAGTTCAATTAGGAACTGGTTCCTAGTTTGGCATATTCTGATCTTTTTCAACGATTTTTGGTCTCGAGTTATTCAATCCTAGGTGATTAAGATTTGTCTGTTAGTTGTACTTTGACTCTCTACAGTTTTAACCCTTCTTTGCGGGAGGGATTATTGAAAAGTGATATTTTTGGAGAATGTGGGGTTGATAATGATTGTGGATAAAAGTGATTTTCAAAAAATCACTTTCACACAAGCACTTACTTCAAAAGAGGCAAATACAACGTTGATATCATGAGTCTTATTCACTTTCATACAAGCACTTACTTCGAAAGAGGCAAATATAACGTTGATATCAGGAGTCTTATCCTCCACAAGACTGGTCATTCCTCAGTGATATGCCACTGAGATGGGATAAGTTTAACATAAAATTACGCCTCGCCTTTGCTTTAAGGAAACTCGTCGTGTCTCTTTTTTCCTGTTGTACAAATTTTGCAGGTAAGTTTATAAGTAGTTTAATTAAATTTTCAGTTGCTCTGACTTATTTTCCTCCACTAAAACTTTTACCTTCTCTCATTAAAGTTTCTTCTTCTGTCTGGAATTTGGAGAAAGAACTGATCTATATAGCTCAACAAATTCTATGCTGTTAATTTGTAACTGAAGCCATGAATCAGCATAATATGATATTAGAAAAATTTTGTTGGTCTGTGAATCCTGATTATATTATGTTCTATGTGAGGAACGAGGTCCTGAGATGATGGTTCATATTACGCATCACATTATCTTAGCACATAATTTTTCATTTGTTGCCAGCGGCAGATAAGTATATATATCTGTTTTTTTATTTTGGTGTGCGCGCTATTGTTCTCATTTTCAAAGTGATAATTTTAAAATAGTATTACAACAATTTTAAGGTTGGTCCATGCTACTTTTTGGAACTTGAAATTCCCTGCCATGCCCTGTCCTCCCCTTTTTAATTTTGTCACAAGGGCCCAAATTTTTCATTATTCAAAAATATACTTTTGTAAAATAGTCCCTAGCATCAATCATTATTGATCTTAATTGTAGTATGGTTATGTTTTAGTTCATGATAATAATAAAAAAGAGAAATTTCTTCCTTGATTGTATAAAATGTCATCTGGCTCTTTTTTCTTTCTGATATCGAGTATTCATGTATTTAACGTGTCAGCACTCCTCTGCTGTATGGACTTTATATTTAATGAGAAATTTGTTACTATTTTATTTTGTTTTTATAAAAAAGAAAAGTGATTTTCTACCTTGAGTCCTACTCATAATCCTTAGAATTGGACTTACCGTTTTCATGATTACACCGGTGCCTAAAACAGAGACCTTTGGATTGTTTCCTTTATTTCTGATTCCCTTTCTTGTTTGGCTTAGAGAATGTTATTATGCTATTTTTTTCCAGACTGAAAAGGTGGATCTGGAGAATACAGTTGTTGATGAGAGCCAAAGACAATTTAAAGAAGTTGGGTCATCCACTGGATCAATGCTAGACAAATCAAGCGGTATGCATCACCAATATATTTTACTCATTTTTGGACAAGATGATCGGTTAGTGATGCAGCAGAATAGGTTATAATTATGCCCTTGTTTGGTGGGGATTAAAATCAAGATTTTAATCTAAGTCCAAGTTAATAATTAATTTGAACCACATATTTCATTGGACCAATAACTTTTTAACCACATATTTCATCAATTTTTTTCAAAATCTGCTAAAAATCTTATTTTAATCCCCACCAAACAAGGGCATGTTTTGCCCACATGATTATGTGGGTAACATAGCCTTGTTAAGTTTCGAGCATTCACTTCTATCGGTTGCTTGCTGTTATCTTTTTCAAGTTTGATAAATGAAGAAAAAGTCAGTGTACTTGGCTAGTAATTCCAAATTTTCTAGATTTTATCCTCCAAATGATGAAATATTTGATACTTATAGCTTCATTATTTCAATTATTGGAAATGGGTCATTGAAGATTTATCAGAAATCCACATTATTTTTGGATTATTTGATGCTGCATTTTTAAATTTGAATTATTTTCAAATCTCATTAACCAGCAAGTACAAGTGAATCTGAAGACGATAATGAAAGAGTTGATGCACCAGAGGAAGATACAGATGAAGAAGACAATACTTTCTTTGACACCAGGGATTTTCTTTCGTCAAGCTCTTTTAAAAGCACTGGTTCGGACCTTAGGACATCATCATTTTCATCAGACGACGATGATCTTTATGCTTTTGAAGTTGATGACTGTAACGAGCGCGCCATTGTATCTGCTGGAACTAACTTCCCTCGTGTGAAGCGTCGGAAGAAATTGCCAGACCCAGTTGAGAAAGAGAAAGGAGTGAGTTTATGGTCAATGATCAAAGATAATATTGGGAAGGACCTCACGAAAGTGTGTCTTCCTGTCTACTTCAATGAGCCTCTCTCTTCTCTTCAAAAGTGTTTTGAAGATTTGGAATATTCATATCTGATCGATCGAGCTTATGAATGGGGAAAGATGGTAAGTTTACAGTAAAATTATTATTGGTTATGATTAATGTGTGTTGGTGCCACACCAGTTTTCACCAGATATTGTTCCACTCTAGTCGTAGCAGAATAACTTGACTAGATTATTTTCAAGAATTTTGCTACTTTTCTTGTTTTGCAGTGGTTTCATTTTTGTTGGTATTTTACTGGTGTTTTGTACTGACCCCTAATCAAACTACGAAAATGTAACACGGGAACCATATAATTGAGAAAGAAGAAAAATATCGGGGTGGATTAAGAAAGTAATGGGAAGAAAAGGTCTGTGCACTTTAATCGTGTTGTGTTGCTGTAGCTCCTATATAACTCTTAGGGATGCCAATTTGATCTGAAATACCCGAGCTCAGCCTTGCCCCGTGCCATCCTTTCCCGTTATCTAGTTATTTAAAAATTCAAAATTTGTTTAAAATAACCTTCAGCCTAGCTTTTTTATGCCAGTTGACTTGACCCAAGCCCAATAGACCAATTCCTAAATTACCCTAAAATTTACGAAAAATAAATATAAATGGGAGAGTAAATGAGGCAAGGGATTGCCCCGCCTTAAGCAGGGATTGGGGCGGTAAAATCCAGGCAGAGCAGGGATGGGGCACCCCTCTCCATTGACATCCCTACTAACTCTAAATAATTAAATCTTACTTGAGCAAGATAGGTCATGATACGATCTATGTTAGTATGTTTGCAACCCATATTAATGAAATGTATAGAATCGCAACTTTTATACAACCTTAAATTTTTAAATACTTAGTAAATGCAGTTTGTAAATCCTTTGCGTAAAGTATTTGACTTTTCCTAGAATAGGATAGAAAAAAGTTGAACTCGGGATAAGCAACTACTTTGGACGGGCTTTTTTTATCTTCTTTTCTTGGGCTTCCTCCTTTTATTTGATAAGTGAGAGGGAAAGGAGAGAACAACGTATAATGAAGTGCATTATAAAATATGCTCGTTTTTCTTCTCAAAACTTCTTGTTCGTCAGTGGCAACGAGGCATGTGAAGAAATTGGTGACCGGAGGCTTGGAACAGGGCAATTCTCATTATATCTTGGTCGAGTACACAATGATATGCCCAATCTAACAGAGATTTGGTGGAAAATCCATTGTAACATCATTCAATCTTATTTCTTAGCACACCGCCTCCTAAGAAAAGAAATGAATGCTTTTCAGCTAAAAGGTGGGGACCTCGCAAACATGTGGGAATGGGGGCATTACAGCTACAATGTTGTCTTTCTAGCTAGACTAAGTTGTTCTTCAAATCTTTTGGTGCTTCTCAAGATATGTTGTTCATCTATTTCGTCTTTCCAATTATGTGTCCTTTGAAGTTTTTTCAAGGTCCTTATCATTATATTCATTTTTCCTAGGAATTTGACTATTTAATAATTTGTTGTAATGATTTGCCATAAATTGTCATTTAAGCAAGTAAAGTTGCAATATTGTTAAGAAATTTGTGCTATGCTTCCTGTGTGCTATCTAATCTGGTTTTTGAATCTTTGTAGGGTAACAGCCTGATGAGGATCCTAAATGTAGCTGCATTTGCAGTATCTGGATATGCTTCAACTGAAGGAAGAATTTGCAAACCATTTAATCCTTTGTTAGGGGAGACTTATGAAGCTGATTATCCCGATAAAGGCCTTCGATTTTTCTCTGAGAAGGTTTCATTTTATGACCTGAAGCAGTGCGGTCTTTCTGTTTTCCATATTTTATTGTTTATGTATCCATAATCTCTAACGTCATTTTTGTTGGGACCAGGTGAGTCATCACCCAATGATTCTAGCATGCCATTGCGAAGGAACAGGCTGGAGATTTTATGGCGATAGCAATTTAAAAAGCAAATTTTGGGGGCGGTCTATCCAGCTTGATCCAGTTGGTATTTTAACAATTGAATTTGATGATGGAGAAGTTTTCCAGTGGAATAAGGTACCATCCCAAATACTTGGAAAGTTCTGTTCTTTGTACTGTGTCATGGAAAAGTGTGAACCTCTTTGTAACAGGTGACAACATCTATATACAATCTGATTCTTGGGAAACTATATTGCGATCACCATGGTTCAATGCGGATACAAGGAAACGGTAATTACTCGTGTAATCTAAAATTCAAGGAGCGGTCTATCATGGACAGGAATCCTCATCAGGTTTTCTCCTTTTCTCTGTAATTTCCTTCTAGACGTCAAAAATAGATGATTTTTTGGGATAGCAGTTAAAACGTTTTTGAAGGATTTTAATTTTTTTTGCTTGCTATGATCATTTCAAGGTTTATAAAATTTGTTAGAATCTCTGACATGAAATAATTGGACATTTGCAGGTAAAAGGAACAGTCCAGGATAAGTCTGGAAAGACGGTAGCAACTTTATTTGGGAAATGGGATGAGAGCATGCATTATGTCAATGGTGACTGCTCGTCTAAAGGGAAAGCTGAATCTTTGTCAGAAGCTCAATTGCTCTGGAAACGTAGCAAGCCTCCTAAATTCCCTACGCGATATAATTTGACACGCTTTGCCATCACACTGAATGAGCTTACTCCAGAGCTAAAGGTAATCATTATATTAATTAATGTTTTATCTTAATTGGTATCCATTTGATGATTTTACTCTTAATTCATTATCGAACTGTTTTAATGACATGATTATCAACCTTTCCCACACTTTAAGATGTTCTTTTTCAATTCCATATTCTTGGTGGAAATGTGGGCTTGTTTGCTTAATGAATGAGGCAGGATTCACTACTGCTCCTGCCATATCCCTATTTTTGGTGCGGAATCCATAAACAGTTCACTATTCTGTCCCAAGGGGGTCTGGTTGTGTTAGTCCAACAACAAGGATCGGTTAAATTGTACTTGAAAAGACCATTTAACCTTGCATATTTTATGAAATTTTAGTGCTAGTTCCTCACTATACTTCTGTATTTCTTCTCTTTCTCTGCCCTATATCTGAGTTACATTCTATGTGAGGAGCTTAATCATAGTCCTTATTTGGCGGCGAGGACAGGAGTATGGAGAAAGACTGGTGAAGTATTCTGGTGCTTTTTTTTGAAGGGGTAAAGCGATGGGAGATAGCTGGAGGACAATATGAAATAAGAATTTTAATTTTCAGTTGATGATTCTTGGAGAAACCCTATCAAAAATTTATCTTGGAGAAACCATACATAGGATGGTTGAACTAACACACTGAGGATTTCAAAAAGAAAAAGGGAAATGGTCGCCACAAATAATCCTCAAAATGATTTCATCACATCATTTCCTCAAAAATATATTTGAGTTTGAATTTTTAGCTGTATTCTTATGTTTTGGATCATTGGATCAAATTATGTACTTCTGATACTAAGCCCCCGTTTGAGCCCCATTTTTTCTCATGCCATTACATTAATTTTTTCTCCCTCTTCATCTCAACCACACATTCTCAAATAAAATAATATTACACACAAATCTAAAACTTTTCCACCACATTTTTTCCCATCAATCACTATTCTACAAATTTTCAACCCCAAAAAATGGGGGCCATACATGGCCTAATTTTGACATAACACACTACTGATATTATAAGCCTTTCATGGAAATACATCCGAATCTGTGCAATTGCAGTGATGAATTCTTTTGGTCATAGAACTCTTTAACAACTGGAATAATTATTTATTGTCTTAAAGATCAACTTTTGTAGGAAATGCTTCCCCCAACAGATTCGAGACTGAGACCTGACCAGAGGTACCTGGAAAATGGGGAATATGAAATGGCAAACGCTGAGAAGTTGAGACTAGAGCAGCGGCAGCGGCAGGTAACTGGATTGATTTTGTTTTAGAATAATTTAGCCGAATCATTCGCTAAATATATGCATAAGTAATATTTAAATGTTATGGAATCCAATAGCTGTTCAATTCAAGGAATTTTCAAGTCTCCTCTTCGGTACTGTTCCTAGTATTATATTCAAACTCATATCCCTTCAAGGAACAGGACATGATTATATACACACACATTCTATTTATGGTCACTTCTAACTTCTACATAGTAGCTTGTCCATGTACGGTTTGTATCATGTCGTGTCGGACCTTGACATGTAGTCCGCCAAACCACAAGTATTGTCCTATTATTATATATATTTTTTAATTTTCTAAATTCTAAAACTCAAGGGATATTTTATGGACATTCCTCCGGCAAGTGTTCAACATGGCGTGTGTTGTTGTTCATGTCGTGTTGTGCGCGTCCGTGCTTCTTAGCATACATGTTACTAAATAGAGTCCATTCTCATCCGGTTGGACCAAAAAACCCTGGTTATCTGCATATATTTCTTTATCTGGATCCTTTGATTGCTTGTGTTAACATTGTTTTTGGGATTTCATATATTTTGAGGGTGAAACCAGTTGATGTATTGCCCCTTGATAACTATCTGATGGTTTTCGGAAACCAGGCTCACAAGATGCAAGAGAGAGGTTGGAAGCCACAGTGGTTTGCAAAGGACCAAAAGACTGATACTTTTCGCTGTATTGGCGGGTATTGGGAAGCAAGAGAACAGAGAAACTGGGAATCATGCCCTCATATTTTTGGTGAAATAACCTCTGATCAGACATTGGACTAAGAAAATGTGAGATTTATCTTTGTTTTCACTATTTCTTATTTCTATCGAGGAAAATTCTGGCAGGAGGCTCGATTAGTAATTGGGATGAGATGCAAATATGTCTATAATATGCATTTATATTAGAAAAAGCAATTTAGCTCTGTTAATCAAATGAAAGGGCAACTTTTATATGAATCTTATTCTTTAATATTGAAAGAATAAGGTTTTATTATTTTGATGTATCTAATCATCGGAGTTTTTGTGAATGGAATTTGTGTTGCATCTTGTAGATGGAAGGACGAACGAGATTAGGATAGGGGTAATTGCCTATAAAGTTTCAACGCCTACTTTTTGAAGAAATCTGATTCGTTATGCTGCATCTCTTTTTTTCGATGGAAGAAGGCTGCACGAGATTAGGATAATAATGGCGTATAAAGTTTTTAACTCCGCCTTTTTGAAGAAATTCTGGCTCGTCATGCTGCATCTCTTCCGGGGCCATGATGTAGGCTCGCCCTAAATTTTACAGAATGAGATTATGAACTTGGGATTCGTGTTTTTGGTAAACTGAATTGAATAGTACTGGACGGTATTAAAGAGGTGCATGTTCAAAGGTCTCTTTTCGTCATATTGAATAGGAGGCAGCAAGATTGAAAAGTAATCGAGGTATATAACAAAATTTCTTAATTGTGCTGTCCGGACAAGTATAACTCCTCGTTATATAATGGAGAAAACAACGGTCTAGTTACTATTTTCTCTCATTCGTTAATACTACACAATGTACCTACTCAAACAAATCATTATCATTGACAAAAACTTTGTGACAAACGTGTCTAATTAATTTGACTTGGACTTGGGACAGATGCAATAACATCAACCTGTCTATGATCATAATTTATTATTTTATTCAATTAATTTTTCATAGGGACAACGGCGGATAATTTCAAGCTTATTTAATTACTGATTAATGTATAGCTAGTCAAAATCGATAGTCACTGTATATATATTAATATTCGGTTCATCCAAACAGTTGGTACATGTAATCTGGACTCTATTTTATGTGCCCGTTGGTAGCAATTTTGGCCCAATTTTAATTAAAACTGTGACCGTTTAATGTTGTCAGTAGGACCCGCACGTTAGAGGGCCAGTCAAACTTTGCGGCTGACTTTGATGTTAACGGTCAGAAAATTCTTTTTTTTTTTTGTTAGAAAAATTGCTACCAAACACAGCCATATATAGTGAGCCATGCTAATGAGATTTGAGCAACCACCTTTTTTATATTTGAGACATTTATGGGAAAATGGGACAAGTCTAGGAAAATTCTAATGGCTTGTGTTTTTCTTTAATAAATCTGGAAAGTTAGTTATGATTTCACTACCTATCATGGAGTGAAGCATTGCAGCAATGGGGATTACTATGAGGGAGAATGGAAGAAGAATTTGCAAGATGGGCAAGGGAGGTATACACGAAGAAATGGCAATGAGTATATCGGTGAGTGGAAGAATGGAATGATCCACGGAAGGGGTGTTTTGGTTTAGAACAACGGGAATAGATATGATGGGCATTGGGAGAATGGGATTACAAAGGGATATGGGGTTTTTACATGGTTCGATGGGAGTTGCTATATCGGCTCTTGGCCGAAGGACTCTTGTAGAAACATCGATAGTAATCAATTCTTGAATGGTACTTTTTANCACCCCATGTGTGTGGGCTGTGTAATTCACTGTACAAAAAGGCTGTACAAACAGCCTTTTTCTATTTATATTCGGTTCATCCAAACAGTTGGTACATGTAATCTGGACTCTATTTTATGTGTCTGTTTGGTAGCAATTTTGGTAAAACTGTGACCGTTTAATGTTGTCAGTAGGACCCGCACGTGAGAGGGCTAGTCAAACTTTGCGGCTGACTTTGATGTTAACGGTCAGAAAATTCATTTTTTTTTTGTTAGAAAAATGAGGTTTGACTATTTGAGCAACCACTTTTTTTATATTTGAGACATTTATAGGAGAACGGGACAAGTCTAGGAAAATTCTAATGCCTTGTGTTTTTCTTTAATAAATCTGGAGAGTTAGTTATGATTTCACTACCTATCATGGACAATTGTATTTAGTTGTGTAAATTTTGTATGAGCTTTATAATTTTTTTATTAAATATCGTTAAATAACAATTTGTCTACTTTATCAAACATGACAAATGTGCATAAATTGGATTGTGAAATCGCTACTTACATAGTTTCTGATGGGGATATGTATAAAGGCTCGTGCTTGGGGGGATTGTAATCACGGTTATGGGGTGAAGCATTGGGGATTACTACGAGGGAGAATAGAAGAAGAATTTGCAAGATGGGCAAGGGAGGTATACACGAAGAAATGGCAATGAGTTTATCGGTCAGTGGAAGAATGGAATGATCCACGGAAGGGGTGTTTTGGTTTAGAACAACGGGAATAGATATGATGGGCATTGGGAGAATGGGATTACAAAGGGATATGGGGTTTTTACATGGTTTGATGGGAGTTGCTATATCGGCTCTTGGCCGAAGGACTCTTGTAGAAACATCGATAGTAATCAATTCTTGAATGGTACTTTTTATCTTGCACATAATTGTAATAATGTTAATGGAAATGAGAATGAAAATGAAAATAAGGGTTTTAATGGGCATTTTGGCGATAAGTTATTGGTGGCAGGGGAGGAGAGTATGGATGTAACAATAGGTGGTGGGCGGAAGAGGGGTTGATGGAGAGGAATTTTCCAAGAATATGCATTTGGGAGTCATCAGGTGTTGCTGGGGATATAACGTGTGATATTATCGGCAATGTGTAGGCATCGTTGTTATATAGTGATCGCAATGGAATGAGGCAATTTCGGAGGAATTCTTGTAGTCTTAGTGGGGAAGTGAAGAAGCAGGGACAGAGTATAACAAAAGAGCATAAGAAGCATGCTTCCTTGTCCCTGGATCTTAAACTCAGTGATTTCGATCCTAAAGAGAAGTTCTGGACTAGGTTTCCTCCTCAAGGTTCGAAAATTACCCCGTCCCATCAATCCTTGGAGTTCCGGTGATTATGGTCCCGTGGTGTTTAGGTAAACTCTCGACATAAATATGGCTATTGAATGTATTAGAATGCTGTTCTTCAATAATTACTCTTTTAGTTCCATCTACGTGAATATGTTGTTCTTTACAATCATAGTAGCATTTAGAGCAACTCAATCGGTGTGATCAGACATTTAAGGTAGTTATTTCAAGTAGATCCTGTGGATTATATGCTAGCCATTTCTTCAAAACAGTGAAGAAAGCCGACCAGTTGGTGGCGTCAAGGTTCGTTTGATGTTGAAAATTAATTCTTCCGTTACGTGAAATGTGTATGCTGTATGACTAATTAGTGTTTAGTGTTAACTTAGACACAGTTCATTGTGATGGGAAATTTGTTCTGCTCAAAGTATCAAATCCATGGAAGGTTTGATTTGAAAAGATCGTCCCATGGTCGAACAAGTGATGAGTCTGATGGAGAGATTGATGAAACCACAACTCTTAAAGACCTCAACCTGAACTTTGTGTTCCGCATCCAAAGCAATTGGTACCAAGAATTAATCGAGTTAGTGTGGTTTTCTCGTCTTGTTTTGTTCTATTTTAGCATATATCAGCACTTTATTCACGTCGGAAATTATCTCGTCAAGCAAATTGATTGAGAATGTGAATACTTGGAGGCAGAGAAAATATGGATTATAGTCTCTTAGTTGGTCTCCATTTCCGAAAGAGTAATGCTATTCATAGTAAAGACTACTGGTAGTTGTCCTACGTATTATACAAATGACAATTTGTTATTTGACGCATTAATGTAGTAATTTTATTGCCTCGGGTATCAAATAACAAATTTCCATATGTATGTCACGTAGGGCGACTACCGGTAATCTTCATTATGAATAGCATTATTCTTTCCGAAATGATAATATCCAGGACAAATGTGGCAGGTGTGTGACTGCTGCTGCTATCGAAATTCTTCTTTTACTTTATTATTTGAACATTAGAGAAATGTTCTTGAATTCTTTCTAGTATTGTTTGCATAAATGAATTTAGGATTTATTGGTTCTTTACAAGGAAACCATTGATCAGGCTAGGGGCCAACATGCCTGCCTGCACGCAGTGGCGGACCCAGCACGAAACTCAACCCAGGTGGACGTTGACCAGTTAAAGTTGACAATCAGTGATCGTAAGAGCGAGATAGTTTTATATATTTAAATGTAGTGTCATTATATTTTGTTGGTAATGTAGAATTAAAAAGTGCCAACATTCATAAATCAAATTCCAAATCCACAGTTCAAATTCCTCCAATTCCAAATCCAAATCCATCTACAAATAATCGTTTATATAAAAACATTAGTAGAGATAAGCTTAATAAGTGAACAAAATGACGTTGATTTAGGTACTTCTTTTAGGAGTTGGATTAAAGAAAAAACTTGGTCGGTTGGCGGCAATTTGTTTATAACAATATAATGGCGACTATGAGAATAATTATTGAAGAAAAGCTACATTGACTATGACGATGATAATAATATTTATGTATAAATGCTAATAAAAATAATTGATCATCGCGTCAAATTCATCAAAGAAAATTTAAAATGTGTAATTATTATTTATGGCGCAAGATCAAGAAATGTGAAAATATTCTAACATTTGGTAATAAAATTAGGGGCCTGTTTGGTACAGATTTTCATTTTGTACAGTAAATCAATTCTCATTTTCAACCACACATTCTTCAATAAAATAATATTTTTCATCTCATCAATATTTTTTTCTTCTTTTTCAACCACACATTTCTCATCATATCACTATTCAAAAATCAATTTTTCCCCCAAAAATCCCTACCAAACACACTCTAGATGAATAAAAACATGAAAATTGAAAACTGTTCAAAGTGTTCAAAAATCTTTACAATTTTTAAATTTGTGAAACTCTCGTTTAGTGAAAATTATTTAATTCAATACATTTTAGGAAGAATACATATGTACTAATAAGTTTAGAATATTTCTTTCTTTATTTTTCGGCGTTGGTTTGGTTGAAGATTGAAAAATGAAGTTTGTTTATGTCTTGGGTCCATATAATAAGTATTGGACTATTGGGCTGAAGAAATGGTCCAACCCAATTACAAAAAAGAAAAAGAAAAGAGTTGGAATGGGCTTGGCCTATATATAATTAAATATTGGGTTGCAAAACAAATGGCCCAACCAGTCAAAACAATTAAAAAAAGGAGCTGGGCTGGGCAGCAACGGCCCAGTCTCATTACAAAAAAAAAAAAAAGAAACAGCAAGGAAGAAGATGAACCAGCTCCGTCGCCAATTCGCCGTCTTCTTCCCAAAAAATCTTCCGACGCCCTGGCCAAGTGCGGGTCCGCCACTGCCTGCACGAGCAGAGCGAATTGCTTGAGGGAGTGATTTTGTTCAGTACCTCCTCGTCGATTTATCATTTCGTCTCCTTGTAGTGGTGAAGTATACGAAGTAGTACTGTACTTTGCGATCATCGACATTTTAGACCACGACATTAGCAAGACACTAGAATATGCGTACAAATCCTTACAGGTCGACCCTACCTCAATCTCAGCTGTTGATCCAAGACTATATTCCAAAAGATTTCGAGACTTCATAAGGAGAATATTTGTAGAGGATAGATGATTCCATTGAGACCTTTAGAGTAATTTGAGAGCTTTGTTGATATGATGTCCTTGACCCGTGATCATATTATATGAATATAGTTATTCATAAGCCATGCTTATCGACCCTCGATGATGTGCAGTATCGTCGTGATATCCTTGCCTAAAGTCTTATATTATGATTATGATAAACTTGACAAGATGTATGGGTGGAAAAACATGTGGATTCTAGGTACCATGGAATACACTTGATAGATGGCATGGCTTAATGTGGGATGGAAAGGTTGTGAGCCTAAGAAAACCTTGCATTCTTTTACTAAACAACATGACATATATATGAACATAGAGTGATAAAGAATACACTTGACATGCAAACTCAAACGGCTACCATTTATTGCAAGGTGAAGACCTCGATTGATTTTATCATAGAGGTCAATAATAGTTCATAACACTATAAATTTTGGACGACTGCATATTACATTATATCAACACAACAAACAAAGGCATGAAGCCAAATATGGGCATATAATTTCAAATCCAACAGTGATTAGTTTCTTAATGGCCCCACAATTTCGTAAACTAAATTTCAGCCCACTGGGTTCGAGTGTGATTTTGTTTTAGGGAAAATTGGTAACTGCCAATATTTAGGGTAATAAAAAATGGCTCGGCGGTATGGTACATTTTGAGAAATATAAAAACATCGTAAAATTTTCGAAAATCGGGTTATCACAAAAATAAAAGATAATATTTACCAGGATTTCTGTTATGTAACTGAAGAATTAAATAAAATATATAAGAAAGAACACAAAGAATTACGTGGTTCGATGTCAGTATGGCAAACCTACATTCACGAGAGAAGAGAGAAGACTATATTCACTTATGTTCGAAGTGTTACAATGACACATATATAGTCATATTACAACAGGTTGCCTTATTATAGATGAGACAATCACGGAAAGAATATAACAAATTATGGAAACATTCCAATTATCATCAACCAATATTCTCCAAATCATGCCACAGTATTTTCTTCAATATTAGCAAATATTCTTCAAATCACCAAATATCCCTCTTCTCCAACACTCCCCCTCAAGTTGGTGCGAATATATGGATAGAGCCCAACTTGGACAATATTTCGTGACAGTTGATAAGCCTTTGGTGAAAATATCAGTCAATTTGCTAGCTACTACGAATGAAGGGAGTGCAAATAACCTTNCAAATTTGACTTTTTTTTTTTTTTTCAAAGATGTTTGCAATCGATATCACTCTTAAGTGTTACAATGACACATATATATTGTCATATTACAACAAGGTTGCCTTATTATAGATGAGACAATCAAGAAATGAATATAACAAATTATGGAAACATTCCAATTTTCATTAACAAATATCATGCCATAATATTTTCTTCAATATTAGCAAATATTCTTCAAATCACCAAATATTTCTCTTCTCCAACACTCCCCCTTAAGTTGGTTCGAAAATATCGATAGAGCCCAACTTGGACAATTCTCATGAAATTTGACAGTTGATAAGTCTTTGGTGAAAATATCAGCCAATTGCTGGCTACTACGAATGAAGGGAGTGCAAATAACCTTGGCTTGGACTTGTTCTCGTATAAAATGACAGTCAACTTCAATGTGTTTTGTCCGCTCGTGAAAAACTGGATTTGAAGCAATATGTATAGCAGATTGATTATCACAAAACATCTGGGAGGGTTGTGATGTGACGAACCAAATCCCAAATCCTTCAGCAAAGAGCGAAGCCAAATAATTTCACTGGCAGTAGAAGCCATTGCCCGATATTCGGCTTCAGCACTAGAGCGTGCAACAATGTTCTACTTCTTACTCTTCCATGTCACCAAATTCCCCCCAATAAAAGTGCAATATCTAGTGGTAGATCTTTTATCAACATCACTACCAGCCCAATCTGCGTCTGTATAAGCAGAAATAAGAGAATGACCATTTTTACGCATCCATATACCTCTTCCAGGTGATCCCTTGAGATATTGCAAAATTCGATTAACGGCATCCATATGTGCAACTCGTAGAGAATGCATAAAGCGACTAACAAGGCGGACAGCATATGAGATATCAGGTCGAGTAATTGTGAGGTAAATTAGTCTACCCACCAATCTTTGGAATTGACCCACATCAGATAATAGATCGCCATCGAGTGTTAATTTGGAATTACACTCTATAAGTGTCTGAGCTGGCTTAGCACCTAATTTTCCAGTCTCTTTTAACAAATCCAATACGTATTTTGTTTGGTTTAGAAATATGCCCTTTTTTGAATATGCAATTTCTAATCCGAAAAAATACTTCAAAATTCTCAAATCCTTAATAGAAAACTATGTATGAAGAATATTTTTGAGCCTTGATATTTCAGCAACATCTGCTTTCCCTTTTTTTTCGA